GAGCATATGACATCTAAGGACACAGCTGAAATTTCCATGCCACCCATCACTTTATCTTGGTTACAGCAGGAATGAGGACCTTATAAGAAATCAGCTCACTCAGGCGACCCCATGCAGAAGGTTTAGCCCACTCTTCCCAACAACCACCAGTTCTGGAGCCTACAGCCCCCCTATTTGTTCAAGACAGTCCACCTTTTCTTGTCCCTCTTTCCCCATTTCTACTGCTTTCCTTTCTTTTCTTTTTCTTTTCCTTTTTTTTTTTTTTTTGAGACAGAGTCTTGCTCTGTCGCTCAGGCTGGAGTGCCGTGGCATGATCTCATCTAACTGCAACCTCTGCCTCCTGGGTTCAAGTGATTCTTCTGCCTCAGCCTCCTGAGTAGCTGGGATTACAGGTGTGTGCCACCATGCCCAGCTGGCCTGGCTGGTCTCAAACTCCTGACCTCAAGTGATCTGCCCAACTTGGCCTCCCAAAATGCTGGGATTATAGGCATGAGCCACCGTGCAGGGTCCCTTCTTTTTTTCTTGCCTTTCCTCATCAGCCTGGATCCCAGGGCCCAGATCTACAACCTCCCTCTGGGTCATTATCTAGGGTGCCACGCCCAGTGACCGTACGTGCTCCTCCTGTATATGACATGCCTGGACACCAATCAGGGTCCACCTCAGGTCCACTTCATGTCCCATTCTCTCTCATACTTTTTCTTTCTTTCTTTTTTTTTTTTTCTCTGTCTCATATTTTATTATCAGAAGAATGAAGTGCCAGGGAATAGACAGCAGGTGGCCTAGTGCCTCATCACCCTGGGATATCCACGGATCTGCTGTAACGTTAGCCTTCACTTGGGGGTTGAGCATGGGGTGATGAGGGTTCATTCATAGTCCACAAAGCAGAATCATATCCTGAAGTGGTGACTCAGCCTGGCCCCGATCAGGCCAGCAGCATCTGGGCTGTGCAGTTTTTGGTGGAACCAGTGATTTCTATGTCATGTGTCTGCTGCCAAGGGAATAAGGGGAGGGAGGAACAGGCGACGGCCTGAGGCCAGCTCTGCCTTCACTCCATGTGCTGGCCCAGAATAGACCGTGCCCCTGGGCTGATGCTCTTCCTCCATCCCCAGGGTCTTCAGGCAAGAGGGAGAAATGAACAGGCCCTGGTTGGAGAGGGAGGCTGGCTCCAGTGCTCCTGACACCTGCTCCTCAGTTGAGAAAAGTAGACTTTTCTGTGAAATGAGAATATCATCAGCCTGGTTGCCAGGTTTAAATTTGCCAAGAATGGGAAGCTGAGGCCTTGTTCCTTCTTGTCTGCACCCCCTCTCCTCTGTTCTAGGCCTTTGGCTCACTGCTGAGGAAGGCTTCACAAACCCACCCCCAGAAAGAACTGAGCTTGGCCAGCCGTGGTGGCTTATGCCTATAATCACAGCACTTTAGAGGCTGAGGCATGATTGCTTGAACCCAGGAGTTCAAGAGCCTGGGCAACATAGCAAGACCCTGTCCTTAAATTTAAAAATTATTTGTGTTCAATCCCCAGCCTTCACATAAACCCTGCTCCCTCCACCCCTAGGTTCCTAGTAAGCCCTGAGCATCTGCGCAGGCCCTGGCATACAGTAGGTGATCAGGACATATTTCAAGATAAAGGAATGACCTCTGCCTCCTCACTGGGTTCTGAGGGCCAGCACCTATTGGTGTCCCCAAAGCTGAGTGTCAAGCTGAGTGTCAGGCTGCTTGTCTTTCTGCCTCTAACGCCCCCAGCAGCCCTTCCTATTCATTGGCTCCAGGCCTCATCTATCATTTGGTACCAGAAAGGCCTTGGGCTTTGGAGTTAGAAACAGTAGGTTAGGGCAGAGATTCTTAAAGCTGAGCCCCACCAGAGCCACCTGAAGGGTCTATTAAACTTCTAGCAGCTGAGCCCTACCCCAGGAGTTTCTGATTCATTATGTCTGGGCAGAGTCAGACTTATATCCTCCCAAGTTCCTAAGTTAGGCTGATGCTGTTGGTGTGAGTGCCACGTTTTGGGGAATGAACATGCTTAGACACACCTGAAACAGACTCTTGTGTCCACTGCTGGTATCTGCCTCTGATGTGCCTGGGGCTTTCTGAGCTCACTCTACAAGTTGGTCAGAAGTGCCAGGAATTAAGCCTTCCCCAGGAACCCTCCAAGGGACTGACAGGGTGTTGCTGTATATCTACTCTGCTTCCTTGGGTGGAACTTCTCTGAGATGTGCATTCTGTACTGTAGCCCAGAGTTCCCCACCCAAACCCCGGGGGGACTAGGCAGCCCCGGTGGAACCCTGCTGATGACCCACTTTATACTGGCTGTCTTCCCTTCCTGTACCTTTGTACCCTTGTTCTTTGTATCCTCTTTTATTTACTTATTTATTTTTGAAGCAGGGTCTTGCTCTGTTGCCCAGACTGAGCTTAGAGTCATGCTCACGGCTTACTGCAGCCTTGACCTCCTGGGCTCAAGCAATCCTCCCACCTCAGCCTCCCTAGTAGCTGGGACTACAGGTACATGCCACTATGCCCACCTAATTTATTTTTTGGAGACAGTGTCGCTCTGTTGCCTAGGCTGGAGTGCAGTGGTGCCATCTCGGCTCACTGCAACCTCTGCCTCTCAGGTTCAAGTGATTCTCCTGCCTCAGCCTCCCAAGTAGCTGGGATTACAGGTGCATACCACAATGCCTGGCTAATTTTTGTATTTTTAGTAGAAACAGGGTTTCACCATGTTGGCCAGGCTGATCTCAAACTCCTGACCTCAAGTGATCCGCCCACCTCAGCCTCCCAAAGTGGTGGGATTACGGGCATGAGCCACAGCACTGAGAAACCACAGGTTTGTGCCATTTTTCTGAGCCTCCGTTCATTCTTCTGGTGAAGTTGGAGAGAAATCCACCAACATTCTCATTGACTTGCAGTAACAGCACAATGAGTATGAGCATTGCAGAGCAGGGGACTCACTGGGGCTCTGGGAGTATGGAGGAGAAAACTCTTTTTTTTTTTTTTTGACAGAGTTTCGCTTTTGTCAGCCCGGCTGGAGTGCAAAGTGCAATGGTGTGATCCCGGTTCACTGCAATCTCTGCCTCCCAGGTTCAAGTGATTCTCCTGCCTCAGCCTTTCAAGTAGCTGTGATTATAGGTGCCCACCACCACACCTGGCTAATTTCTGTATTTTTAGTAGAGATGGGGGTTTCTCCACATTGGCCAGGCTGGTCTCCAACCCCTAATCTCGAGTGATTTGCCCGGCTTGGCCTCCCAAAGTGCTGGGATTACAGGAGTGAGGCACTGCGCCTGGCCTCATTACATTTTTTATTGAGAAAACTTACATAACACAAAATTCACCATTTTAACCATTTTAAAGGGTACAGTCCAATGGTTTTTGTATATTCATGATGTTATGCAACCATTACAACTACCTAATTAGAAAACATTTGACATTTTTAGTTGTTGCAACTAAAGAAGTATGGTGCTACTGACACCTAGTGGACAGAGACCAGAAGTGCTGTTAAACAACTCACCAGAAAGAATTATCTGGACCCAGGCAGGGTTGGTGATAATCCCAACACTTTGGGAGGCAGAGGTGGGAGGATCAACTGAGCCCAAGAGTTGGAGACCAGCATGGGCAACAAAGTGTGACTCCATCTTTTCAAAAAATACAAAAAATTAGCCTGGTGTGGCAATGTGAGCCTGTGGTCCCAGCTACTTGGGAAGCTGAGCTGGGAGGATTGCTTGAGCCTGGGAAGGGAAGGTTGCAGTGAGCCATGATTGCACCACTGTACTCCAGCCTGGGCAACAGAGCAAGACTCTGTCTCAAGAAAAAAAGAAAAATAAATAAATGAATGAATTCTCTGGACCAAAATGTTAACAGCAGAGGTTGAGAAGCCTTGCTCTACACAATGAAAACACCATCACCACACCAACAGTAATTCAGCAGTATTATCCTGACTTGTTCCAAGAATAGCGTTTTAGCATTTTTATTTTAGTCCAGGAGGCAAGCAAGTTTCACAAATTGAATTTGGTTATGTCTCTCTAGTGTTTTTGTGTTTTGTTTGTTTGTTTTTTGAGATGAAGCTTTGCTCTTGTTGCCCAGGCTAGAGTGCAGTGGCGTGATTGTAGCTCACTACAACCTCTGCCTCCCAGCTTCAAGCGATTCTCCGGCTTCAGCCTCACAAGTAGCTGGGATTACAGGCAAGTGCCATCACGCCAGACTAATTTTGTGTATATATATATATTTTTTTTTTTTTTTTTTTTTGAGACAGTCTTGCACTGTCACCCAGGCTGTAGTACAGTGGCGTGATCTCGGCCCACTACAATCTCCACCTCCTGGGTTCAAGCAATTCTCCTGCCTCAGCCTCCCAAGTAGCTGGGACTACAGGTGTGTGCCGCCAAGCCCAGCTAATTTTTTTGTATTTTTTTTAGAGACAGGGTTTCTTCATGTTGCCCAGGAAGATCTTGATCCCCTGACCTTTTGATCTGACCGCTTTGACCTCCCAATGTGCTGGGATTACAGGCGTGAGCCATGGCACCTGGCGTATTTTTTTTTTTTTTTAAGTAGAGACTGAGTTTCTCCATGTTGGTCAGGCTGGTCTCGAACTCCTGACCTCAGGTGATCCACCCACCTTGGCCTCCCAAAGTGCTGGGATTACAGGCGTGAGCCACCACACCCAGCCTCTAGTGTCTTTTAATATAGAAGAGTATCCTCTGCCCCACACTCAGCCTGTTTGTTTTTTCATGTCATTGATTTTAGGAGTTCAGGCCAGGCCAGTTTTCTAGTATCATATTCTGGATTTACCTGATTGCTTCTTCAAGATTAGATTCACAGTCAACATTTTTGGCAAGAATGCTACATTGGTGATTTTTGCGTCACATCAGGAGGCCCATAATATAAGACTGCCGTGCTATTTACGATGTTGAAACTGGAAGATAACACAGTTAAGATGACAGAGTCCCCGCCCGGCCCGCGGCGCAACAGGCCCCTCCTCGCCGCCGCGGAGCTGGACCGCAGCTGCTCCGCCGACCATGCGCCGCCTCCCGCGGGCCCTGCTGCTGCTGCGGCTCGCCCTGCTGGTGGCCGCAGGCGCCCCGGAGGCGCTGGTGAGCGCGCCGCGGAGCATGGTGTGGGGGCCCGAGCTGCAGGCGGCCGTCGTCCTGCCGGTCCGCTATTTCTACCTGCAGGCGGTCAACTCAGAGGGCCAGAACTTCACTCGCGCGCCCCCAGGTCAAACACCATTCAAAGTAGTAGTCAAATCTCTTTCACCTAAAGAGCTGGTCCGGATTCATGTCCCTAAACCTTTGGACAGGAATGATGGAACATTTTTGATGAGATATAGGATAAATGAAACTGCCAATGAAGGGCTGAAGGTAGAGGTCCTTTATGGTGATGAACATGTGGCTCAGTCTCCCTATATTTTGAAAGGACCAGTATACCATGAGTACTGTGAGTGTCCAGAAAATCCTCAGGCCTGGCAGAAAACTCTTTCTTGTCCGACCACAGAACCACAGATTGCAAAAGATTTTGCTTCCTTTCCCAGCATCAATCTCCAGCAAATGCTAAACGAAGTCCCCAAAAGGTTTGGGGACGAGAGAGGTGCCGTTGTTCATTACACAATTCTCAATAACCACATTCACCGGAGATCTTTAGGGAAATACACGGACTTCAAAATGTTCTCTGATGAGCTTTTGTTATCACTGACAAGAAAGGTCCTCCTCCCAGATTTAGAATTTTATGTTAATCTTGGAGATTGGTCTTTGGAGCATCGAAAAGTCAATGGAACCCCCAGCCCCATACCTATCATTTCATGATGCAGCTCTCTGGATTCAAAAGATATTGTCCTTCCAACATATGACATCACCCACTTCACACTTGAAGCCATGAGGGGTGTTACAAATGATCTCCTCTCTATTCAGGGAAATACAGGGCCTTCCTGGATCAATAAAACAGAGAGAGCTTTCTTCAGAGGTAGAGACAGCCGAGAGGAGAGGCTCCAGTTGGTACAACTGTCAAAAAAAAAATCCTCAGCTACTAGATGCAGGAATTACAGGATATTTCTTTTTCCAAGAGAAAGAAAAGGAGCTTGGAAAAGCCAAGTTGATGGGTTTCTTTGATTTCTTCAAGTACAAGTATCAAGTTAATGTGGATGGGACCGTGGCTGCTTACAGATATCCATATCTCATGCTGGGTGACAGTCTGGTTTTAAAGCAGGACTCACCATATTATGAACATTTCTATACGGCACTAGAGCCTTGGAAGCATTATGTTCCAATTAAAAGAAATCTTGGTGATTTATTAGAGAAAGTTAAATGGGCTAAGGAAAATGATGAAGAAGCCAAGAAGATTGTAAAAGAAGGACAACTGATGGCTAGAGACCTACTACAGCCACACAGGCTTTACTGCTACTATTACCAAGTACTGCAGAAATATGCTGAGCGCCAGTCCAGCAAACCTGAAGTATGTGATGGAATGGAACTTGTTCCTCAGCCAGAAGACAGCACAGCCATCTGCCAGTGCCACAGGAAAAAGCCTTCAAGAGAAGAGCTTTGAGTCAGCCCAGATTCACACTCTTGTATAACCCAGCTACATCTTTAAGGAAAGATCAAATCTAAGCTGTGAAGGACAGTACAGAAGATTTTACCAAGTGGACTGCTTCTCTCAGTGGCTTTATATGTGTAGATGGATGTAGCCATACTGATTGAGCATTGCTTATATGAAATGCTTGGGACCAGGAGAGTTTCAGATTTCAGATTTGGGGATATTTGCATATACATAATGAGATATCTTGGGGATGAGACCCAAGCCTAAACACAAAATTCATTTATGTTTCATATATACCTTGTAAACATATCCTGAAGGTAATCTTATATAATACTTTTAATAATTTTATGCACGAAACAAAGTTTGTATAGATTGAAGTGTCAGAAAGCAAAGGTGTCACTATCTTAGTGGCCCATGTGGTGTCAGCACTCAAAAAGTTTTGGATTTTGCAGTTAAAAAAAAAAAAAAACAACACAGTTAAGATGACAGAATGAGGGTGCAGCCTTCCTCACCCCTTCTTCTCCAAGTATGGTGTACAGGCAGCTGCTGTAGTTTGTCTACCCTTTCTGAAAAGTAGCAAGCTGAGAGAGGTAGTGCATGTCTGTAGTCTCAGCTACTCAGGAGGCTGAGGCAGGAAGATTACTTGAGCCAGGGAATTCAAGCCTGCTGGGTTATACATGTCAGCCTGGGCTATGCAGTGAGATTATCTCAGAAAAAAAAAAAAAAAAAAAGTAAAAAACTGAAAAAGTCAGGGTAGCCTGAGGCAGATAACACTCAGCCAGAAGGAGGTCTTCAGAGCCTCCTCTCTTCTCTCATTTTTTTTTTTTTTTTGAGAGGGAGTTTCACTCTTGTTGCTTAGGCTGGAGTGCAATGGTGCAATCTCGGCTCACCACAACCTCTGCCTCCCAGGTTCAAGTGATTATCCTGCTTCAGCCTCCCAAGTAGCTGCAAGTACAGGCATGTGTCACTATGCCTGGCTAATTTTGTATTTTTTTTTTTTTTTTGGGACGGAGTTTTGCTCTTGTTACCCAGGCTGGAGTGCAATGGCGCGATCTCGGCTCACTGCAACCTCCGCCTCCTGGGTTCAGGCAATTCTCCTGACTCAGCCTCCTGAGT